CCAGGATTTGGTGAGTGGTGTAAAAATATATTTGGCGAGCGGAGCAAGGCAAACAATTTTTTGGGAAGGGGGCGTGGTCTTTTATGAAAATTAAACCCTTCTTGGTGTATTTTCAGAGCATCTGCTGCCTTTTGTATTTGGTTCAGTGCAAATCAAATTTCCATTTATATATTCAAATTTTACCAAATTCACTTAATTCTCATCAATGATACAGGGATCTAAAAACTTTTTGACACCATCCAACCGATCATAAAATTGTCCCGCCCCACTGTGTTTCTCTGGATAGATAAGTTGAGGACCTTTCGGTATTTGTTGTTTTGTTGTTTTTTTTCAAATATTACTTTATTACTTTGAGATTAAAAATTAAAACGATTCTTAAAACGGTGTTTGTGTTTTATTTGAGTACGACGAATTATGACAACAGGTAGATATTGATAATTAAAACACGTTGTATTATTTAACTTGTTTGTAAAGTTGTTGTACGTGTCTCACGAATATTATTATTATTACGGTGGAATGAGAATCAGGTCAGGCAGAAACTGAGAAAGCTCTCATCGTCCTCCTAGTCCTACTCTCGGGCCGTAGCAAATCCACGGTCAACACAGGTAAGAAATAAAATAAGAAATCGTGAAAATTTGCAGACACGTGTTGGACAATTACGACATTCAAACCTTTAACATTGGAGTGCCGTAAATTGGTCTGGGTGACCTATTTACGGCAAATAAACAAATATAAAGACCGTAGAATAATTGTAAAATGAATAGACCTAGGCCTACACATCTTCTAAGTATAAATAAACAAAATACCAATACATCTTTCTTTAAACTAATTTGGGATGATAGGGTCTACTACGGCACACAAAAATAAATTATGCCGTGACAGACATGGTTTGCGTACGTCGGCTTTTACCATGGCTTTGCCGTTTAATTACCGTGGTAAATTTCGAGCGCCGAGTTTGTGTACAGAGAAGGACGAAGGGGTTTAAATACGACTGGGCGACTTTCTTCGATTTTTTCTTTGTGCTGGGTGGCAAAAAATAGTGCCGGGCGCAGGCGCCGCCCGGCGTGGCTACATCTTTAAAAATGTGCCAGCAAAAAAGTTTTTAAAGCAAATGTGCCTGCGCACGCCGTGCGCATGTGCGCGGAAATAAAAATGCCTGGGGGTTGGATGGCTAAATGGTTAGCGTGCGCGCGCTGTATCATAAAGTCTGTCATTGAGTCGACTGGCGTGGTTTCGAATCCCTGGTTGTACGTGACAAGGAGTAGGGTCGCCTGTCCAACCTCGTGGGTTTTCTCTGGGTCCTCCGGTTTCCTCCCATTGCTAAAGACCCCTACGCGCAAGCGAAATATTGAAATAAAATTGGACCATGTGTTGGTCCCAAGGTGACCTAGTTTGTGTCGAGTGGACGTTAAACCCCATTTCTCTCTCTCTCTCTCTCTGATATTGGCATGTATCGGACTGTAACTTCATGTATTATGGCCCTTGATTATGTACTAAATTTGCCATACTTTTATTGGAAATAACTACCCTATAAATACTTTCGTGCAAATATATCTTTCATATCTTAAAAATTTAAGTAAATATCTTAAAAGATTAAATTCCAGTTGAAATTTGAAAATGTTAGTAGTTTAAAAGCTCAAGTTAATATCTTAAACGGATATTAACTGGAAATTTCCTGATATCTCCCCCACCTACACTTGCTGCGCTCTCCCGTGGATGTGAGTATATGTGTGTACTCGGTTGTTGGTGTTTACCATACACAAAGTCTCCATTTGTCGCTATTATTCAATTAATAAAAAAAACCTGTTTTATCAAGATATTGCACCGCACAATCAATTAAAAACGATTATATTGTCTTTTTTCCCATGTGTGGTCAAAGGGGGGACAAAAATGTAGTTATTTACAGGTTAAACACCTCAATGAGTGTCAAGACCACAAGTCCTCAATTGTTCACATACAGTCTGTACGACCTCAGTCAGATTGATTTAGAAAATTAAAAGTTTTCAGTGGCTGAATCAATAAAAAATGTTCTTTCAGTGGGCTGCTCCTGTGGTCAAAGGGGGCCTGTTCTCGGATATAGAGTGTTGAACTCACTCAATTTATATTATTGATATACACTTGTAACGTCCTCGGATGTGAGTGTGTGTGTACTCGGTTGTCAGTGTTCACCATACACAGAGTCCCCAATTGTCGGTATTAAAACATAATATGCGTCCTCGGTTGATCACATCGCGATATTGTGCCATACATCAATTTTAAACAGTTATATTGTATTTTTTCCCATGTGTGGTCAAAGCAGGGACAAAAACGTAGTTACTTACAGGCTAAAGACCACAATAAGTGTCAAGTCCACAGTTTGGTAGTATAGAGCAAATGACCTCGTTTGGAGGCGTTCCCAACTTACACCATGCGTGTCCTCGATTAGGTGTAACTAGCATAGGAACTCGGTCGGTCGTATTTCCCCAATTATTTGCAAACTCCTGTGTGTTGGCATTTCTTCCGTAAAAAGTCAAATGCATAAAATATGTAAATTGAGATATAATTTATATCTTTTCATAATCGTTTGATGGAATATAGTTCAGAAATAACGGTGGTTTTCAGCTACATGCAATATTTATCGAGACCTAGATTAGGAGGATCCAGTCAAAGTCCTCAATTTACACCATATACATGTCTGTGTGTCGCCTACAGGCCACAGTTCTTAAGTGATCATCTTGAAACTTTAGATACTTATTCCTAATACCCTATGGATGATCCCTTTTATTTTTGGTGCATGCCTGATTCCCAGGGGCAGAGCCACGCCCATTTCTTGTGTTTGTTTGTCGTCTACAGGCTGCATTTCTTAACGTATCATCTTGAAACTTTGCATACTTATTCTTTGTACCCTAAGGAACATCCCTATCGTTTGGGGTGCATGGCCAACCCCCAGGGCAGAGCCACGCCCATTTTCTTTTTGTATGTTTGTGTGTCGCCTACAGGCAACAATTCTTAATCGATCGTTTTGAAAAAAAAATCGTATGAATTCCTTATACCCTAAGGATGATCCCTATTGTTTTTGGTGCATGCCCGACCCCCTGGGACAGAGCCACGCCCATTTCTTGTATTTTTTTGTTTGTCATCTACAGGCCGCAATTCTTAACAGATCATTTTGAACTTGCCCAGGGGCAGAGCCACACCCATTTTTTCGTTGTGTCTCTGTGAGTTGCCTACAGGCCACGATTCCTAATGGATTGTCTTTGAACTTGGGATATGTATTCCTAATAGCCTAAGGACGCCAACTGCATGTCCCGACCCCCAGGGCCAGAGCCACGCCCAATTTTTGCCTTTAGCACCCAAAGGCCACAATTCTGAATAGATTATCTTGGAACTTGGAATACTTAGTCCTTATACCCTAAGGACGGCAACTATTGATGTTGTCATTTCAATAATAGGGTGGTACCTATTTATATTGTTCCATATCCAAACCCCAGGGGCAGAGCCACACCCATTTTTTGGATTTATTGTCTATCGTCTGAATGTATCATATTGGAACTTTGCATATTTATTCCTTATACCGTAAAGACAGCAACTATTTATTTTGGTGCTTGCCCCGACCTCCTGGGGCAGTGTCACACCCACTTTTTTGTTAGTATTCTGTCTGTAAATTTGGCAAAACAAACCCAACGCCTAGCCTTCTTTGCCTCTTGTCATATTACAGCCATTTCATATTTCATTCTCTTCATTCTAAAAAGTACCATATCAATCAAAGCTGGAATGTGGACGTATATTACAGCGTTAGCGAAGCTCTCGTTAAATTTGGCAGCACCACAGCAATGGAGACTTCAGATGGCCATAACTCAGTCAATTTTTTGGTGATTTGCATATTTTATATATCAACAGAAAGCAGTTTTCACCTTCAAATGTGATATAAAATCAATTATTTATAAAACGGTTACCATGGTATATTGTCACTTAAAAAAAACAAAACAAATTAAGATGTGCAAAATGATCTTTTGTGGCAAAAATCATATTTGAAATGTGGAACCAGGCCTTTGTAGCCATGGCCATAACACAGCCAGTGCAAAGAATTGTGGATTTCTTGTAAATTTCAGAAAAACAAAAAAAAAATATGTATTTTACTAAAGGAATATGTTAATGAAATTTCATACAAATGTTGGTGCACCACACATAATTATATGCACAGAATTTAATTTTGATGTATGCAATAGTTATATGTGTTGCTATGGGATTTATTTTGGCTGTTTTAAAAGGCAAATTTCTCATTTTTGAATTTGGCAGCACCACAGCTATGGAGACTAAAGATGGCCATAACTCGGCCATATTTTATATATCAACAGAAAGCAGTTTCAGTCACCTTTAAGTTAAGCATTAAATCACAGTTTTTAAAAATGGGGACATGTGACTGGTTTTGTAGTGGAGGGTCACAAACAGTGTAAAAGTATGTAATACCAAGGTTGTGGACCCGCTACAGGTCACAATTTTTATCCGATTTTGATGAAACTTAAAATATATGTTTATATCCCAAAGATCTCGGTTCCTTTTGATATTCACGCATATTGGATCGGATTATGGCCCCTGATTGTACAAAAAATCCTGTTTTTAGCTTGTGGATCCTCTAGAGGTCACAATTTTTATCCGATTTTAAAAAAACGTTGAACTATATCAGTGTTATAATCTAATGAGTTCAAATTTCATGAAAATCCGACTGAAACTGCTCGACAAAATGGCCGCCCCTTGTACACAAATATTGTAAAAGTATGGAATACCAAGGTGAACCCTCTAGAGGTCTGATTTTTTATCTGATTTTGATGAAACTTAAAATCTATCCCAGAGATTTCGATTTCTTTTGATATTTGTGCATATCAGACAATAACATCCTGGTATATCCCCTGATTGTTTTCTGTCTTCTCTTGCCAAATGTGGGCATATCTTGCATGGCAACCACTTGTCAAATTTATTTTGAACTATATGACATTACAATGTCTTGCTTCTATTTTTAGCACCAGAAAGGTCGTAGAAATACTACATTTGGTGTTGATTTTCAAGAACAAGTCAACATACTGAATGTTGAAATCCCACCCATTGTTACTAGATGTCTAGCTGAAGTAGAAAAAAGAGGAATGGAAGTAAAGGTAAAGTGGATTCTTTATTTATTCAAACACTTAAATTGTATGTCATTTTTATACACCCACATTGTTGTCACCCCCGTCTGTCTGGTCAACCGTTGGTCTGGCGTCCACAATTGATTGTGGACACACTAGAGCAGTGATTCTCAACTTGTATGCCACAAGATCTTCCTAAGTGTGCCATGAAATTTTGAACGGCACACTAAGAAAATGCAAAAAAATAAAATGTGATCCCATTTGAGTATTCACTGGTGTCTACTGGTAAGTTCATAGATCTGTTTTTATACGCCCACATTTTCATGCGGACGTATATTGTCGTCGCCCCTCTCCGTCCCGACGTCCGTCCGTCCACAATTTGTTTGTGGGCACTCTACAGGTCACAATTCTTATTCGATTTTGACGAAACTTGAAATATAGGTTTATCTCCAAAAGATCTCGATTCCTTTCGATATGGATTATGGCCCCTGTTTGTACGAAAAATCATGTTTTTAGCTTGTGGACACTATAGAGGTCACAATTTTTATACGATTTTGTTGAAACTTGAAATGTAAGTTTATAACCCAAAGATCTTGGTTCCTTTCGATATTCGCGCATATCGGACCGTACTTCTTGAATTCTGGCCACAGATTGTACGGAAAATCGCGTTTTTTAGCTTGTGGACCCTATAGAAGTCATAATTTTTATCCGATTTAAAAAAACGCATTATTATATCACCGTTACACCCTAAGAACGGCTGGGTTCGAATTTCGTGAAAATCGGCCCAAAGTTGACAGACAAAATGGCCGCCGTTCGTTCTCAAATAGCGTAAAAATATGGTATATTAAGGTTGTGGACCCTATAGAGATCACAATTTTTATCCGATTTTTTTTAAACTTGAAAGGAAAGTTTATAACCCAAAGATCTCGGATGCTTTCGATATTCGTGCATATCGGACTGTAACTTCCTGAATTATGGCCCCTGATTGTACGAAAAATTGCGTTTTTAGCTTGTGGACCCTATAGAGGTCATAATTTTTATCCGATTTAAAAAAAACGTATTATTATATCACTGTTACACCCTAAGGACGGCTGAGTTCGAATTTCGTGAAAATCAACCCAAAACTGACAGACAAAATGGCCGCCGTTCGTTCTCAAATAGCGTAAAAATATGGTATATCAAGGCTGTGCACCCTATAGAGGTCACAATTTTTATCCGATTTTGTTTAAACTTGAAATGTAAGTTTATAACCCAAAGATCTCGGTTTTTTTTGATATTCACGCATATCTGACTGTAACTTCCTGAATTATTGCCCCTGATTGTACGAAAAATCACGTTTTTAGCTTGTGGACCCTATAGAGGTCGTAATTTTTATCCGATTTAAAAAACGTATTATTATATCACCGTTACACCCTAAGGACGGCTGAGTTCGAATTTCGTGAAAATCAACCCAAAACTGACAGACAAAATGGCCGCTGTTCGTTCTCAAATAGCGTAAAAATATGGTATATCAAGATTGTGGACCCTATAGAGGTCACAATTTTTATCCGATTTTGTTTAAACTTGAAATGTAAGTTTATAACACAAAGATCTCGGTTCCTTTCGATATTCGCTCATATCGGACCGTAACTTCCCGAATTATGGTCCCTGATTGTACGAAAAATCACGTTTTTAGCGTGTGGAACCTATAGAGGTCATAATTTTTATCCGATTTAAAAAAACATATTATTATATCACCGTTATAATTTTTATCCGATTTTGTTGAAACTTGAAATGTAAGTTTATAACACAAAGATCTCGGTTCCTTTCGATAATCGTGCATATGGGACCATAACTGCCTGAATTATGGCCCCTGATTGTACGAAATATCGCGTTTTTAGCTTGTGGACCCTATAGAGGTCATAATTTTTATCCGATTTAAAAATACGTATTTTATCACCGTTACACCCTAAGGACGGCTGAGTTCAAATTTTGTGTAAATCGGCCCAAAATTGACAGACAAAATGGCCGCTGTACGTACTCAAATAGCATAAAAATATGGTATATCAAGGTTGTGGACCGTATAGAGGTCACAATTTTTATCCGATTTTGTTGAAACTTGAAATGTAAGTTTATAACACAAAGATCTTGGTTCATTTCAATATCTGTGCATATCGAAGTGTAATTTCCTGAATTATGGCCCTTGATTGTAGGAAAAATCACTTCCTTTTTAGCTTGTTCTCTATCCATTTCTCGAAAATTAGGGCGTATCCTGCCTGGCAGCCGCTGGTTCTTTATTTAGTTTGAGTCATTCTATGTGTCTATGACTAGTCTGGGTTACAGTTGTATGCCGTCTATGACTTTCCTTGTTTGTATTTTGCAAAATTCAAATAATTTTCATATTTAGCCAGGGGTGCCGCTATTTTTTTATGTGTTCCAAGATGTGTCGTTGGCAAAAAAAGTTATGGCCCTTGATTACTTGAGAAATCCTGTGGACGTGCTAGAGGCTAAAGTTAATATAAATTTATACACAGTGTTTAAGGTTGTGAGACAAACAATCAAAACAAATTCTAATGATTTCTGATAGTTACTTAAAGATACATTATGGGAGATAAGATAAAGAGATGGCAGTTCTCGCTATAATAGTTAAAAACTAGATAGTGTAAAGGTAATTTGCTGGAAATTTCAGTCAACTTGATCCACTATGAGCCGAGAAAGAAGCGGGTGAAATTTTTGCATAGTCTCGGTCATCATTACTAAAATCATTAATATAAACAGCATAGTCTTGATTATCCACTTTTTCTGATTTAATTATCAACGGCCGTTAGCGGCATATAGGAATCTAATCCAGCCAACATCGAAGGCTAGCCTTGTCATCGAGAGTTTATTATGGTCTGGATAAGTTAATTAATGTCTAATTGATAATTTAGATAACATTTCAGGCCTAAAGAAAGACTTGTAATAAGCAGATTTTGCTCTTGCATAATGCATGTTTAATGGGTTGTTACTCTTTATCAGATTTTAGTGTGTTGTAAATGTTTTCATTACTGACTAAATAAAGAAAAAATATGCGACAACCCTTGTTGACTCCTTGGACAACTTAGCTGCTGTGGGGGTATGTTTCGTTGCCTGGCAACCTATCTTTACACAAAAAATAAGATTTCCCCCCCCCCCCCAGAGTTTTCGGAAAAACATCGAGTCAAAACCTAAAGCTCAGAACTGATAATACTTGGAAAGTCTTTTTTCTGAGTTTTCGATGTGGCCCAAAAATCGCTATTTGACTAACTCAATGGACACTTTTTGACATAGTACCATGTTTTATAGTTTAATTTAGTATTCTTGTATTGTAAAATGCATTTTCAAGAAGGCATACGCTTGAATGAGAAAACACGAGTTTGCAGGGATAAATGAATAGCATCCAGTCTTACCCATAGAGATACAAACAACCGAAAGAAACAAAGCTTTTTTTTATGTCTTTTTATACGCAAATTCCATTTATTACTTCTAGAGTTATGGTCCTTGTTTCACTTTGTTGCACCTTGCAAATGCTCTAACATCTAAAGTTATCTGCCAATCTATATTAAATTTATATTGAGTCATTTAAATTACTAAAAATAAGAATCCTATTGAACTTCAGCAGTTTCCGTTTATTAGGTCTAGAGTTATTGATCTTGTTTCACTTTGTTGAACCTGGCCCCTCATTGTACGAGCAATCGCTAGTTGCAACGATGCAGAAAAAAAATATTGCGATATCTCACGATATTGGTAAAATAAATTATCCCGATATGGATTATCATCCGAAGTAAATTATCGTGATAATTAAAATTATCATGCTTCAAAAATTCAATATCGTGATATTACTGACTTAAAATTGATATAACTTGAGGTGTATAAATGGATTAATGTATCTAGTGTATCCATTTGGTATTTAGCAATGTATGTGAGATGTACTGATGAAATGAGACATAAATACAGGTATATATGCTGGGGTAAGATTATTCCTGTAGGTATTGTAACGTCAGATCATTCTATTCTAATCAGCTGGAATGCCTGGAATACTCAATATCTGGTTAACAGACTTGTCAGATGGTCTTTTTAAACTAAAATATCCCCATATGAGTGACAGAAGAAATGCCGAACCATCATCAGAAATATTCCCATTGACATTGACAGTTTCAAGCTCGGAATCCATTATCCAGAAGATTTTTCAATGTAAAATATCAATGTAATTTTCAACAGACTGGGTAATCAACGATTAACCACCTCTTCGTTACTATGGCGACCTATATTGTTGTGTGCAGTTTAACTGTATCATTCCGAATAGGGGTATCCTTATCGTTATAATAATATTATTATTATTATTGTTCGATTTATATAGCGTTTCATTACACATGAGTGTTTCTAAGCGCATTCACAACAAAACAGTTCAAAAACATTTTTGAAATAAGTATGTTTTTAAGTTAGTCTTAAAACTCTGGATGGAAGAGGACTCTCGAAGAGTTTTTGGAAGATCATTCCACATTTTAGCTGCTCTGACGGAGAAAGCATATTCACCAGAACACTTATTATATTTGGGGATCCTCAATATGCTACGATCACTTGAAGAACGAAGATGGATCGCCGGGGAGTATAGAAATCAAAGAGTTCTTTTAAATAACTGGATGCGGTGTCAGAATAAATTGATTTAAACACATTCACAAGAGCTTTAAATTGAACCCTCGCTCGAACTGGAAGCCAATGGAGTTTCTGTAACTTAGCTGATATATGATCAATTTTCGTGTTTTAGTTATGAGACATGCAGCATTGTTTTGCGCTATTTGTAGTCTGTTCAAAGCTGTTTCTGGTGCTCCTAACAGAAGAGAATTTGCATAGTCCATGTGGGATATTACTAATGCTCTAACAACACTCTGGCATTTGATGATGCATTTTCCCTATGATACTATTGATTTGTGGAACTGGGGACATAAATTCATCGGTAACATAGCCCAGATTTTTAGCCTGCTTCTTGGGAGATATAGAACAATCACTGATCTGAATGTAATCCGCTTTAA